GTCAGTGGGCCCTCGTCAAACACTGCAAACACAGAGTCACGCTTAAGTAGGGCCTCCCTTCCTCTCAGGCTCTACGTCCCTGGGTTCATCTGGGTTACTGTGAACGGACAGCGGAAAATCTAATGAATTAAAATGAGGTGTAGAAAGGTCACCAGCAAAACAGTGAGCAACAAGACTCTGCCTCTGAATGAACGATTTCTCTTAGGGGGTTCGTTTTAGCTTTGCGATGTTTTTATTTGTGATTTTCGAAATAGCTATTTTTTCTTTTTGTGTGTGTGTGTGCGTGTGATTTAAAATAACAAAGGTAATCAAGTCTTCCAGCCACTCGAGGTAATGATGAAATTAAATTACAGTGATTATCACTAAAACAAAGGTAAAGAAATTGCTTTTACATATAATTGGATACTTCGGAAGAATCCAAACATCCAGAAGAAGACTTCTCATTGTGAAAGTCTGTTTCAACAAAGACACCCTGTTTTGTAGCGTTAGGTCCATGGAGTTTCTAATTACACATATGTAAGTCTTAACAGCATTATTATAGTTCAGTTTTACCTTCTGCATCTAGGAATACGAAAGATTTGTATGTGTCACTGGTTGTGACCCTTCAGTAATGAGTAATGACATTCCTATTTATCATCTCTAGGATCAACCCGTGTGACAGCAGAAAATAGCATTACAGTCGGCCCCCCATTTCCATGGATGCGGAGGGCCGACTGTATGCACTGACCTATGTTGCTTTATAGAAGGGACTTGAGTATCTGCAGATTTTGGTACCCATGGGGGTGCTGGAACCAAGCCCCTGCAGACACCATGGGATGACTGCATTTACCTAGCCCACAAACTGTTGCATATAATCTATTCAGGAATGTTCTTTTCCCAATTAAAGTTTGATGATTCTATACTTTATACTGATTTTTACTTTTTTTCCATCTGCATTTTAATTTTAAAAGGTTATAATACAGGGTGTTTATCTTCTCAAAATCTTAACAACTTGGGGTGCCTTTAATATTTAATTTTTTACCTAGTTCAGCTACTGAAAAATATCTCATAGTTTATTACTTTACTTGCGTTGATTTTTTTTTTTTACTCTGTGAAATTATCCATTTGGCAATCACATTACTATGTGCAAAAAATTCTTATTTCGATTATAAAAGTAAATATAACCCATGATTATTAAGAAAACTATTTTGCAAATCAACCATTGTTTATTTCTGAATATAATCAAGTACCACAGGCTAGATTAAAGGCTTATGGATAGGGATTTTTTCTCTATTTAAAATAATAAAGGTAATCAAACCTTCCTGCCAATCTAGGTGATTGTGAAATTTAATTACCAGCAGTTATCATTAAAACAAAGGCAAAGCAATTTCTTTTACACATAATTGAATATTCCAGAGGAAAATTTCTGAACAGTTCTCAGGAAATGTATTTAAAAATTAATTTTAACCTGATTATTTCATTTGTTATGTCTCGATTAGTAACACAGAATAAATGACACACGCGAATGACATGATTGACCAACAGCACGTGAGAACATCTTCCCAGCAAAGTCAGGTAACTTTGAGCTGAATGCTCAGTAAATTATTAGATCTTTACTCTTTGTGCGAATACAACCAAACCGAAATCTCCCACAGCTATTCCTCCGAGAGAGGTTGAGTCCACTTTATTTGAGTGTACCTCTCGTATGCTGGACACTTCAGAACTGACTGTTCATTTTTTGGTGCTCGATTGCCCAAATATGTCCTAAGGCATCCAGAACTGTGCCACCAAACCCACTGCTACCCAGACAGAAAGAAAGCCTCCTACATTAGCAGTAGCAGTAAGTGATCTGGCACCTCTGGGCCTATACGTGGAACTGTGCAGAGAAAAGAAACCACAGAAAAAGGATCAACGGCCTTAAGAAAGGAGGTTGAAAACTGGGTCCTGAACTTCATCTCCAGGCCTTTGCCTAAACTCTTTGCTCTTCTCCTTCCTCTGCCTGAAATGCCTTTCCCTATCTCTGCTATCCGGAAAAACCCTATTCATCCTTCAAGGCCTAACTCACAGGTCACCTCCACTGAGCCCTCTAAACTGAGGTCACCCTGTCTTCCCTGCGCTTTCCTCCACGTAACTGGTTCCATCCAACTGGCACACAGATTGATATTTGCTCCTCCATCTCTGCTGCTGGATGGCGAGGGAAAGTATCTTGATTCATCTTTCTATTCCAAATACATGGGACTATGTCTGAAATCTAAAAGACACTAAATAATTGCTTGTTTAATGGAGCTCCAACCTCAAGATCAAATTTAACATGCAACGTCAAGAGGCAGATTTGAGGAGTGTTGGACTTATTTCTGCACCTAAAGTCTGAGCCAGTGACCGCCTTTTTTTTTTTTTTTTTTTGTATTCCTCCAAGGAGCAAAATTTATTCACCGCAAGCACTTAAGTGCCACACCCTGTGCTAAATGCTCTACACACATTATCTCATTTAATCTCAACATTCATGTGAAGTCGGTCTTATTACTAATATTTGCCTCATTTACAGATAAGGAAATTAAGGCTTAGAGAAGTTAAGTAACTCACCCCAAGTTACCCAACTCATCAGTGATGGAGCCAGAAGTCAAGGACAATAATCTCAGAACTTCAGAGCTAGAAGGAATCCCAAAATTATCTTCCTCACTTAACTCCCTTCCAGCTGAGGTTTATGACTTACTGCCTGGAGCCTAGTAGGCCCTTGAAAATGGTGAGTCATTGACTGATGGAGTGTCCTAATTTCTCAGATTCTGACCTTTGCCTGGAGGAACCCAGCTGCCGTCACAAATAAGCTCTATTCTTTCCTGCCCAACACCTCTCACAGGTGTGAATTGCTTGTGTCACCTGAATTATTCATGATCCACACCATGAGAAATATACTTAAAAAGAGAACTATGGTTCTCATTATTTTTCAAGACCAAGTGCCTGATTAATTGGTGAATTAGACGATATAAACTCATGGCCCAGGTTGATGCACACCAAATAATATATCCGCGCCTACTTTTTGAATTTCAATTTTCAAGTAATTTCCCAGTTTCCATTGGGACTTGAAATAGTGGTAACTAAGTAGGATAAATAATTAAGCACCATAAGCATCTCTATCCTATCTGCAAAGCAATGACCATTATCTAAAGCTTATACGGCACTGCTTCAAACCCATGTATGCTTCCTAAGGTTGAGTTAGCTTTCTTAATGAGGTTTCTTAAGCTCCATCAAGACTGAAAATTCAGATGCCACAGCATCTGCAACTTATGCCATCAGTAACAAACGTGACACTACTGCCTCCTCGCCCTTTCTCCACTCCTCTTTCACTTCACCACCTTTATCCCACAAGCTGATTTTCTAGTGGGAAGTTTTCTGATGGGGATAACCATATGCTAAGCATGAGCCAACATCACTGTATTTTAAATTCAATGTTAGTCAACCACTGCAGCAGCAGTGGTTTGGGGGTGCTAAAAATAAACTGTAACATTTGCTGAGTTCTCAGAATTAAAACCACAGGCGGTCAACTTGTTGCTGCTCTTAATAAGATATGACTGTTCTGTCCCATTGGCTGCTGCTATGTGAAACTTGAACTTTACTGTATGCCTAACTACACAGTGCTTTTGATTAGTTGATGGGGATCGAGAAAGGAAGTGCCATTTCCCTGGAACTAAATCTGCAAAAAAAAAAAAAAAAGATATCAGATGGCTTTCAGTGATAGCCTTGTGCCACCTCACAATGGCACCTTAGTCGGATTCACCTTGCATTTATGATTTAATTAGTCACACATGTGTAGGTATGGTTCCTGATGCCTGCCTTGCTGTCCAGTGTTTCCGACAAGGTGTTTCTTCCTTTGAGTTTAATTTTTCAGTAATAATTTTTAAAAACACAACAAGAATTAACACAATATTAATACTTTGAGCATTTCCATTAGAACTTCGAGACCTTCTTGACCTATGAATACTGTATGCTATACTAAATGTCTTACTGGCTATCCCTTTAGGGTTTGTCATTAAAGTTTCTAGTGACCGGAGAGGTAGAAGGATTCTACCTAATGCATCATTCTGATGAGAAACCTGTCATACTCAAAACCGGTGGGTCTGCATCTATGGATTCCTACTCCTTCAGAATCGTTAGCAATTTTTGTCTCTTCAATTAGACCCACTGATGAACCATAGAAAAGCTGAAAGAAGCCCTCCGTTGGCTCAGCTGCACTTGGAAAAAAAAACAAAAAACATGTATGCCTGGAAAGTAAAATTACAGAGCGTATTCCAAGAGGCCACACAGGAAAATCCCTCATCCATCTCTCCTCCTCCTCTCTCTCTCTCTCTCTCTCTCTCTCTCTCTCTCTCTCTCACACACACACACACACACACAGACACACACACACAACTTGTATAACCAGGCAAATTGTCAGAGGCTGGGCTCGACCTCCCGTGCCCTACCTCGCTTCAATCAGGACCAGAAGGACCCAATCCCTTCCTTACTTCTCCCTCCAACCCATGCCCCAAGCGTGTCTCCACCGAGCTAATTTCTGAAACAAACAAAGAAAATCAAGTCTGTGAGGAGCGAGGGTTTGCTCCCTTCTGCCTTAAATTCGGGCATCCAGCGTAGTGGACACCTCACTGCCAGCGGGTCAGGGCGCCCAGCGTCACCCTAACCTTCCCCGCCCCGCCAGCCCCGGTTCCAGCTGCGCCAGAAAGTGCGAGCCTGCCCTGCTCCTTTCGCTTCTCGCCTGCTGCTCCCCAAGTGCCCAGAACACCCGCGTCCGCGCACGAGGGGCGCCTCGGCTAGCCCACCGCTGCGCTGTCAGACGTCAGGCGCGGAGGTGCTGTGGGCACCGAGGGGGCTGGCAATCCAAACAAGTGTCACACCGGACAGCTGCCCGCGCTCCGAGAGAGCCGGCAGGACGGCCACAGGTAGGCTCTACCCATCCCAGGGCGCGGGGCGAGAGCAGCGGGCGAGAGACCCAGCGCGGCAGCCGCGCCCGACAGGCTGAAACTCACCCGAGGACACCGACGAGCCGGACAGGCTGGAGTTGCTGGACGCTGCCATCTCCGCGCACCCCGCGCGTCGCTGCTCGCTCAGCCCCGGTGCCGCCGCAGCCGCCGCTGCCCTCGCCCGGCCGCTCGCAGCCTCTGCGGCCCCCAGCCCATGGCAAAGTCCGGGGGACGCGCAGAAAGCACCAGCCTCTGGACTCTGCCTGCACTTCCTGCTCCGCCAGATGACGCGCTGCTGCCGCCGCTATTTATGTGTGGTTTCCGTCCCTCTCGTTGCCTTTGCACGCTTTTCTCCGGGTGTCGGAGGGTAGGTGGGAGCGGAGAGGGGGGCGAGGGGCAGCCGGAGGGGACCGATCGTGGCTCCGGCTGAGCCCCAGCTGCGGTTAGCGCTCCCACGCGCGCCGCTGGGACCTG